TCGTTTGTCAGTCAGTATTACGTCAATACATCCTCCCAGGGCAAGAGGTGTTTTATAATCTAATACTTTTATCTTCATTGTTATTGTCATGCTAAAATAATGCGATAAGAGTATAACTGAGCCGTTTGCCAAGTTTCAAGCACTTGAGCAAGCGTAAAACGCTTATCAATAATGGTAATTAGTATACATGTACACCACACAAGTAATAATAGACACGTTTTTTAAAAATAGAATTTCATTTTCTTTGTCAAATTTCTCTGAATCTGCAATGTGCCAGTTTTTAATGGTAGGGTACAGAATTCCAATAATGTAATAAAAGGAGCAACTTTGTTCATTAACAGTTTGATAGCTTTCTTATACTATGTTTCAAAAAAGTTGCGCCAGCAAAACAAAGAATAAATAAAAAAAACAAATTATTGGTCATAAAGGAGTTTTGTTAGTAAGAAATAGATCAAAATTATGTGGGGCTTCGCCCCTGGTGCTATTAAGAAGCGATTGTTAATGTGTTTGTAATAGTTACTATGTTTGTAAGGGCTTTAGTGTCGGTTAACACAATGATCATTATGAAGTTATGCATATTAATATGTATTTGTGAGCTTTACGTAATATTGTTATTACAATAATAATAATAATACATATGTAATGTATAGTAGAAAAAGTTACCACCCCTCAGAAAATTTTGCAGATTTAGTCTAGACAATTGATATTTTTTACTAATATGGTGTTAATTTTAAACACTAACTGTTCTAGTTGCAGTTGTTCTTTATGTATGTGATTATTAACTCAATTTGTATTTGTTACACGAAGGTCTAACATCACGTTATAATTATTATTCCAATTTCATATACGAGAGTAGGTTTATTTTTGTCGACGCTAAATTTGTAATTTTGTTCGATTGGGTATTTGTCGTTCTTTAGGTTTTACTGGCTTTTCTCGCCTTTTAATTCCTGGTCACTTTCTATAGTGGATACGGAATCTGTATTGTGTTGTTCGTATGATGAAATGGCGATCGATGTGATTATTAAATACACAAAATCAATAGGCCATCAAGAGTAGCGATCAAATTAGAAACGTTGCAAGCCTTATTTAATAGTTATATAGTTATAAATATTACGAATAGTATAGAAAGTCCGATGGAGAATATATCCCTTGCCTCAGATATATTCGAGATGTGAACCTATTGTAAGTCTGCGATAAGTGTACTACGAAACATGAATTATAATAGTCAACATAATCATTCGTCTAGAAAAAAAAATTATTCTCTAAAACGAATAATTAGTAGCTATGCGCAATATTAGAGAATAGATACTTGAATAATATGATAAAGTTGGCGAAGTCGGTAGCCTCATCACTAAGTATCGACTCTACAGAGCCCCATTGCCACGGTGAGGAATGCAACCGCCTCGCTAAGAAAACCGGTGACAATATTATTAGAGTTTGAATGATTATATATCGCCATAAAATCCACAACCGTCTGGAAACAGATCAGAGAATAAGATGGCTTCTAGTTTTGGATTATTAAAGCGAAGTGGTATTTGGCGTTTATTTTTATCTTGAATAAATTCTATTGCTAAACGAGAGTAATGGGCATCCTAATTATGTATTCGTCAGGTAAGACATATGGAGGCACAAATACGTCTGACGGGATGTACGGGAGAAGGATTGAAATAACATGAGTTGCTTGAGGTCGGACAGTAGGAGATGTTTGGGAAGCAAACGCGAAACAATAGAATAGTAAGCAGATAGAGAAGAATTATTTTGTTGCAGCCAGTCGCAAGCATAACGCGCGAAGATGGATGATACCAACAATTTATTAGGAAAGGACAAATCAGCATTTTGCAGAAATGCCTGAATAGAGTACAATGCTTTTTTGGTTTTGGCATAAAAGAATTTGCACCAGTAGAACGACCTAAACTGGTGTGTAAATAAATAGGAGAAAAATATGTTCTTTTTGAATATGGTACGTTATGGATACATTGGGTATTGGAGCAAGTGTTAAGCATGTTCGATTATTAGATCCATCACAAATTGCAATTTTTGCCGGGTTGCGTGGATTGGTAGTAAGATTATTTGAAAGCGTTTGCAAAAGATAAGTAATGTCATTATTTTAACTATACCATTTTGCAGATTGACGGGTATAATAAACGTAAACAATAAGAACAGGAAACGCATGGAAATTGGGCGTAACCCTCTTCATAAAGTAAGCGTAAGACTTTTTGTAGTTCATCGGAAGGACGTCAATATGTGGTGTTTGAAGAATCATAAGTCTGGGAAAGTTGTATTTCAGATGATGGAATGGGAGGTAAAGATGACATAAATCAATAGACCATGAATTAATAACGTTATAAAAAACCATTTCGTTTCTTGAAGAGAATCGACGGTAAATATATCGAGGACTTGAGACATTATTTTCTTTCAAACTGATAAATAGATTATTATTTACTAGGAAAATAGTGTAATGGATTGTACCAGTATGTTATACGCAAATGAGAGGATATATATATAATATATGGTTTACTCATGTGAGTCATATTAATATACGTTTTATTTCACACGATTAATTTTAAACGAGGACTGTGCAACGAAGACATGCGGAAATGTATGAAAAACGATGATAGAAATGACCATGTACAAAATAAATAAAAAGAAGAAGCGAATAAGATGAGGGTAAAATGTTCCTTCAAACTTAGGTGATGCGAGGGTATAATCAAGTATCAAGTATGTAGATAAAAAATTCCCCGAAAGATCTACAAAAAAATTATGATAAATGGGTATTTGTTGGTTAACGTTAACGTTAATGTGAAAAATAATTTAGGAAGTGAAGGACACGAAAGAGTGAATGATTATCAAAAACGGTAAGTTCATGCAGCAAACGTTGGCGATGAAAATGTACTTTATGTTAAAGATGGAATAATGATGTAATGTATTTATTTAATATTTATTCCATGAATAAGGACAAACAACGTGGAGAAATATGTTGCGGGAAAACTGGAGGGATGATCGTTAATTTAGTGGTCTAATTTGACGACATTTCGGAGAAAATCGGATAGAATAGAATAAATAATTACAAAGCTAGACAATTCTCTGACATTAATTAACAGTAAAATTGTTAACAATAATTAATAATCGATGAAACATACCAAAATTTTATTCTTATCTTCCCGAGAGCGAAAAAAAAGATCGTTCCCAACTGATAATATTCTGAGAGAGGCGTGCTGTGGGGCAAATCCGAATACTTTACGTTAAATTATAATGGTAATGACAGTTGTCTTTGTTATTTTGTAAGAGACACTATGTTACAAGGAAAGAATGTTGCGGCAATTTTTTTTTCTTTTATAAATAGCTCAACGTGAATGAACATTCACAGCTTCTCAATATTACACGAAAAGGTTATATACGTCGATCATGGGTTAGACATTAGGGATTTACTATGGAATGACATGACGCCATTTATTTACCTGCGGGTGTCAATTGAATACGGGTATTTCGTTTGCTTAATTGAAGATTGATCAGTTAAACAATTATTATGTTTAGTTTTTGGCTTGTCTCTTTTAGACAGAAAATCACCCCGCGTTCTCAGCGTATATACACGTTGTTTCTTTAAAAAAAATTGTCATTGCAGGTTTAAAATCGAATTCAATTAGCCGAAATCGTAGGTGCAATTTTTTGAATACGTGTTTGTGAGAACAAAATAAACATCATTTACTGCACGTCAATTAATAGAATAAAACAAAAACAAAAACAAAGGAGAAGAATCGAAAAAAATATATTGAAAAAAAGAAAAAAAAAAAAGAAACGAACAGAGTATATTTTATATAGAAAAATCGTTCCTACAAATAAAAGACACTAAATTTCGTAATTGTGACAAATCATGATACCAAATACGATTGGTACGTGTCCTGCCATCCGGACGTTTTTTTTTTGTTACCGTATTACCGCATGCCGAAACTTTTGACTACTCAACTCATTATAAAGCTATTTTGGAGAGTTTGTTTGTACACACCCCATTCTCATACAAGTTGAAATGGCTTGTTCATTTTTCTTTCTTTCTGACACAAACAGCCAGCGTTACTGACTGTTTCAATGGCTCGAACTCTAGTAACAGAATTTGATACTCTCTCTTGTGTAGAACCGACACCTTGTCGGTCTCAACAATCAACCACGTCAAACGGTAAGATTTGAAACTCTGGATATTTATACTAAAAAAGCGGCGTATTATGTTGCATTAGTATAGTTTTTTAGGTATATTCCGGTTCACCAGAGATTGACATAAAATTAAAAGATATGATAACTAAAGTGGTGATGTGTAAAGACAAGGTCTCGGTTCCGATCTAGAATGACTACTGGCAGGAATACATCTTCCAACCAGAGGGAAGCCAATTAACATATAGCGCTGACATTATACAAAACACGTTCTACAATAGATCAGATTCATTCATTACTATTAGTCCTGCCAATAATCTCGTTGCACATGTTCTTTGTGAGCAAGCATTAATCCCGAAAAGGAATTTGCTACTAATCGACTTAACCTTGTGGAGGTAAAATGACGTTTAACCTATTGGATGCTTCTAGCTATTGAATTCTTTGTTTTGAGAGTAAGATTCAAGGTTGTGCTGTGACGCCACATCTATCGGTTTCAATTCTTTAGCAATACAGGACACGTAAAGGTAGAAGTAGTGATATTAATATGTCTTGCGAAAGTCGGGCTTTGTAGCAAACGAGACGTAGATTACGAACGTCATATCTATTGATCCGCATGTTGATATGACTGACAGTCTTTTCGCATTCGACAATTGTTAATAAAGTTATCATTTGGGACACGTGAATTTTTTTACTGGTTAATTACCGAATTTATTTTATACAGCTCTAATATTTGACAAAAAGTCTATCACGACTGAAATGTTCAAGATGGATATCGATCAAAAAAAAAACGGATCCACCATCCATAAATATTAATGGCATGTAAGGCACTGAATACAATGAAACTTATACTAATATAATCAAACATACAAATGAACAAGTATAACGGGGATTATCGTCAGAAACAGATCAGACAATCGTAACTGTGTCTTGTAGTTGTAAACGCCGCTAGTGTTTGACCCGGTATCTCCTTTCGCATTATTACTGCTAGTGGGCGTGGCATCGCCATTTCCCGTGGGTGTGGTATTATCATTTCCCGAAGATGTGTTATATGTAGAATCGTCTCCCGTAGTAGTTGTATTATCTGTAGAATTGCCTCCTGTAGTCGTAGTAGTATTTGTATTATCGCCTCCTGCTGTTGTGTTATTTATACCAGTACCTCCTCCAGCACCTCCAGTCGAACCAGTAGGCGCACTGCACTTAAAGTTGGGTAGACAAGTTGTGCCATCCGGACAACATCCGCCTTCGCTATCTTGGCATTTGAATGTTCCGGCCGGGCAAGTGTCATTTCCGTTTCCACCTCCGAGACCAGAATTACCTGCTCCGTTAGGAGCGTCTCCTGTAGGAGTGCTGCCACCAGCACCTCCAGTCGAATTAGTAGGCGCACTGCATTTAAAGTTGGGTAGACATGTTGTACCGTCCGGACAACATCCGCCTTCGCTATCTTGGCATTTGAACGTTCCAACAGGACAAGTATCATTTCCGTTCCCACCTCCGAGACCATCACCTACACCATTGGGAGTGTTTCCAGTGCTGCCACCAGCACCAGTACCGGGCGCACTGCATTTAAAGTTGGGTAGACAAGTTGTGCCGTTCGGACAGCAGCCGCCTTCGCTATCTTCACAATGGAACGTTCCGGTGGGACAAGTATCATTTCCGTTTCCACCTCCAAGACCAGGATCACCTGCTCCGTTAGGAGCGTCTCCTGTAGGAGTGCTGCCACCAGCACCTCCAGTCGAATTAGTAGGCGCACTGCATT